CATAATTTTAGTATTCATTTTTAAATTTTAATTTAAAATTATAATAACGATATAAATTCATTGAAAGTTAATTAAGTTTAAATAAAATATATCTTGAAAATAATATTATTTTGTAGTTCTATTTTATATTGGTAATAACAAAATTTTATATTTGCAGGTTAATTAATCCTAATTCTTACTTTTATGTATAAAATATATATAATAAAAATAAAAAAATAGCATAAAACAAATCCTATAAATATTATAAATCTATAAATACTATAAATTTTATTATAAATCTATTGATCTATTCTATTAAAATAAAATAAAAAAATTATAAATTAATATATGTATATATAAAAAAAATAATTAATTTTTTAAATGATTGTAGAACGAAAATATTTTTTTGAATAATTTAAATCATCAATATTTTCGAAATAGAATATCTTTTAGAAGAAATAAATCTAAATTTAATAAAAAAAATAAAATTTAGCATATTTTTAGAAGAATTTATTATTTTAGTAAGAAAATAAAGAAATATTTTTGATTTATTTATTTATTTTCAAAATATATTGTTTGTTTACTTTGAAAATTGAAATTTAATATTAATATACGGTAATTTATTTTCGATATTTTATTTTATATTTCTTTATTTATTTTTTATTTTTATTTATTATTTATTTATTTTTACTCATTTCTTACTCAATGTCTAAATTTTCTTTATGTTGAACATGTTTCCTTCTTGTTGCAGCCAAAATTGGAATATATTTTTGTATAAAACATTTTCTTACATTGAAAAATTTTGATAAAAATTTGGATAATTGTATGAATTAAATGTGTTTTGATGAATAAATCTCATTGCTTATTTATATTTTTTACATGTAATGCTATTATACGATAGTTTCTTTGATTAGCCTGCATTTTTCTTATTTTATTCCATATGGATTCGAATTCTTCCATCATAAATGTAGCTAAATCGATTATGTTTCTACTAATTAATTTTTCTATATTAGTTAATTATAGTTAATTAAGGTAGTTAATTATGAATCATTATATAAATTTTTATTGATAGCAATATATTATATATGGATATTACAATTTTTTCTACTTACCGGAAAATTTTTTTATGAGTAATTGAAAATAATTCTAAATAATCTCTTAAGATTCTTAATCTTGTAACCAATTATTATCATTCAATACAATGATATATTTTTTTAAAAATTATTTATTTTATAAAAATATTGCTGTGATAACTATGACTAGGAATTTAAGAATAAAAAATATAAATTTTTTTCTGTAATATTGCAGAAGAAAGTACAATGCGCGTCAATCAGAGTGGAAAAGTGTTACCGATAACATTATTGAATTATTATTGAGTTATTATATTATTATACTTATGATATAGACAAAATATGGAATTAATCTATATTTAAATGAATCAGATGAATCAGGATAAAGAAAACAATGTTTTTCATTCAAAAAAGTAATTGATATTAGCAATTATTAATATAGCTGTAAAATTATATAATTTTATATAATATTTATATATTATATAAATTTATTA